ATGCAACAGTATAAATTGGTATCATTTTGATTCATACATCTAAGTTCTCTCTGCTCTGTGCTCTCTCTCTCTCTCTCTCTTGAGTATTTTTTCTTTATTTGTTTTGTGAGCTCTCTCTCTCTCTCTCTTACTCTGCTTTAACTTATAATAAAACATTATCAAGTACATCACAGAGTTTAGTAAACCATGTAACCTGTAAGGGGAACATTCACAGTATCAATTTCATGTACATGTATCAGCAAAATACTAATAAGAAAGAAGATGAGTGTCCTATTGATGATCCTATCAGTTGTACTAGTAATATCTACATTGACTGGATCTACTAACAATTACTATACCTGTTTGAATTATATACTATCAACAACAGGAACCTACTGATAATAAAGCATCATTCACAGATTATTGTTGTAAGTTCAGTAATACACTATTGATATATTTTAGCAATTTTAAGCTGTTACTAAGAAATTACTTGAACTCACTAATGCATCAGTAACTTCATCTCAACTAAAACATGGGGAAAAGAGCTACTGGAAAGGATTACTAAAGATCAGTGAGTGACAAAAATTATAAATAAACATGAATCCATTTCATACATTGGGATATACTGCATGTTAAATTGACACATAACTTCAAGAATTATACTAATATTACTTTTGTTGATGTCAAATATAATTTATGTGACTACTTTAATGATATATTGAATGAAAATTGTCCATTACCACTTGGATTATATCATATCAATACCAGTACTATACTACCAAACATCTTTTGGCCAGTGAGTAACAGATACAGTGTATCATTATTACTATTCTATCTCATAGGGTCAGTATTATGGTAAAGCAACTGCTTACAATGAGAAAGGGGAGCAAATGATGTGTGAAATGGAAGATTTCTTTATTGATTGAATAAAGATTAAAGTACACTATAATAATAATTATTATTCATAGATAGTCTAGTACTTGTATACCGGTATTACATGCACAAAATTAAAGCAAAATATTTTTCTCTAATTTACCAATGATATACCTTCACACTGTCAGACTAAATATTATACTTGACTTACTGATACCATTTTGCATGCTGGAACAAATGATAGAAGCCAAAATCCATGTAGCCTATGCATGGTCTTTGGTGCAATTTTTAACAACTTTAAAAATTTCTTTAAAATCCAATTTTGGTCAAAATCAGTTTAAAGTTTCTACACAACATAAGTATACATGTAGATCTATATGTATGAAAAAAAATTATAAAAAGGAAGAATTCTCTTCTAGTCATTTTTGGCAAAAATTGGCCAAAGTCTCTCCAAAAATCATTGAGATCAAGCTTTTGACACAGTTTAAGAAATAAAAAATGGAGATTTCCTACCCAGTCAATTTTGACGAAATAAATTTTGAAGTACTTATTTAAAATACGAATTTGATCAGCAGTTCAAACTTAATACATCACATAAGGACATGTATAAACTACTAGATTGATTAGAGAGGTGTTATTATAGTTGTCACTGTGTTCAGTAAAAATAATGATTAAATTTAGACTGGGAGGAGTTATAGACTGACAAGTTATGAATACTATTAGTTACCAAGATGAGCAGTACAGGAAAGGAGCTGGTCATTGCAAAGAAGATTGAGAGTGTTTTTTTCATTGTTCTTCTTGTTGTGGTGCTGGGCTTATTCACAGTTCCAATAATAGTCTACTATAGATCTACTTCAGTAAGTGTTCTACTTAATGATGCTAGTGAACTAGTATAATACTAATGAACTGGATATCTTAGTTAACAAACAAGCACTATGGTTATTGCATTATGTTTGAAATAAATGAAATTTAAATCAATTCGTCTTCACAATAATTATTATTTTTAAACCTATGAGCCATCTAAAATATAATGAAAATGTGTATAGACTAGTAGATAGTACCCCCTTATCTACTCTTGGTAGTAAGGTAAGACATAAAATTATAGAGTAATGTCACCAAGACCTAATGCATTTGACTATTCAACTGACAATATAAGCTTACTGTGATGGTTAAGTATGTGCATGGATCAATTTAACAGCAGTTATGTACATTATCATACATTAGCAGTTATGTACATTAGCAGTTATCAATTATGTACAGCAGTTATTACAAGCTTTACAAACTTTCAATTTAGAATACATATGATTCAGGCACCAATAACAATGGGAATTTTAGTGAAGGAACAATCAACAACAATAATGTAAGCCAGAACTGCACCGAACTATCATGGAGTCAGGATAATGATGCCTCAGAATGTCATGAGTATACTGGAACTGCTTGTAAAAACTTCTTACATCAATGGTTTCAATGTACCATTGGAGAAGGTGAATTGAATATTGGAGTAAGTCAACAAGAACAAAATCAACACGAACAAATGATCATATCACTCAAAACTAATTTAGGTAAATAAATGGTGCTGGTAAATTTTGATTTTAATGCTCTCTTTACAGAATTTTACAAACAATGTCAACAACAATCATCAGCTTTCATATGTCAATATTTCTTTCCTCTTGCTGATTGCTCAACTGGAAAATCTTACAAGGCTACCAAGGAAGACTGCCTCCTCATAAGTACAGGTGTTTGTTCAGACCTGTGGACACTAGCAAACAACTTTGGGTATGGCTCACTCTTACCTGATTGTTCTACACTACCAAATGGTATGATAGTAATCTTATCAAGTTCTAATAGTTTATACTTTATACAGCTGCCAACAATTTATCTTCTGTCACAATTCCAATTGAAGGCATCAATGATACCAATGGTACTGAAGGTATAGTGTGCAGAGAAGATTTTGTTAAAATAGATTTAATTTGTGAGCCAAGATGTGACAGTTTTGAACAAACTTCTCATTTAAACTCACAAATACTAATCTATTCGGAAGTTGTTGCAACTGGTCTGGGCTTAATTTTTTGCATTGCTACAGTTGCTATTGCTATCAAGGAATATAAAAAATTGTTAGTGAGTGTAATTCCATCATAAATCTATCTAACATTGTATCATTTCAGTCTGGCATATCCTTCTGTATTGGTATTTTTTCAAGTCATAGACATAACTGTATTTGGTAAAGTGCATTGTAATCTTATATTCATTGTATACATTTATATATAGCTATAGTACTAATCATAACAGCTGTTGATCGAAACGGATTGTACTGCAGTTCAGTTAGTCTATTGGAGACACTTAAAAATCCAACTCCTTTTTGTAAATTTTCAGGTAAAATTAACAACTTATCTAAAACTTTTATTTTCAATCTAGGAATTGTATTTCATTATACTTTTGTAAATATGGCACTGTGGTGGTTCTTTCATGTTGCTATATTCTTTCACAAAGTATTGTTTCCCTTCCAAGCAAATAGATTTGAAAAGCTGGGACATAACAAGTACATATTTGCAACTGTAACTATTTTGTGTAAGTATTATTGTATTTATCAATTTTGAAATAATCCATTTCCTTGATAAAGCTACATTACTTCCATTGCCAGCTGTTATCATTTGCCTTACTGTTGACAAATTCAAATATAATATCTATCGTTTTCCAACAACTACTTGCATCAGCAATGGTGCCATGTGGTTCTACTCTACCACACTTCCAATGGATGTACTATTTGCTGCTGGAGTTATAATGCTGATTATAGTTCTTTGGACTATGAGAAATGTATGTACGCTAAAATATTAATTTTATAAATAATTTTATTAATTTTATTAATAGAAAACAAATTTCTTGAAAAAGAAAAATTGTACTGAGCTTAGCACTGCTGAGAAGAAAATCCTATTGGTTTTTACAACTTATACTATTTTTGGCGTTTTCATATTTGGGTATGTCAGTGACATAACAGCAAAATCTGGCAAGTTTGAAGCAGCTTTAAGAGAATACTTTGAATGTGAAGCATTTGGTCATGTTCCTGGAAAATGTGACAGAGGAACATTTGATAAAATCTACAATCCATACATGAGTGTCACTGCATACATGCTAATGAGTTTGATACCATTGAGCGTTTTGCACTTCATACTGAAGTGGAGGTCGGTTAAAAGCACTGGAAATAAAGCCGTAAAATTGACAAAGAGGTATTCAAGTTTTTTGTATCGTGGAAAAAATTCTTTCACAACTTCCTCTATAAGTGTTGCCGATGAGTTATCGTCAAAATCAGATAAGAGTGCAGAAATAAGTCAAGACACTGCTGTATAATTTGAAAGTGCTCTTGGAAATTTATCATCAAAATCATAACATAAAGACAAGAAAATAAGTGCATAATTTGACTTTTAATTACAAGTGATGTTTACTTACTGTTCTTTATTACTTTGATTGTCCGTCTGTGATCATAAATTTTTAATCAAATTAAAAAAAAATTTTTTTATAGCTAGTGCAAACCTTCATTTACCAACTAAAAATGTTTAATAAGCAGCACTAGGGAGAAGCTTGCAAAGTCTAATGAGGCTTGATTTAAGACCAATGATTTATCCAAACTCTTGAGTTCACTGTTATCATGGTAAACATCAATGTTAAAGAGCTTTTATTAACTATGGTAAACATAATAAACATTAGTAAACAATAATAAACATCACTGATAAGCATTGACAACGAGTGTCAAAAAATAATAAACACATGCAAATACTGATGATGATTGTATATGTATGCAAATGGTATACATATACAATGGTGGACATAAGTAAAAGTATCTGTCAAACTGACCCTCCTTCTCATGATGAGCCACACCCCTTGATTCATCAAAGAAATAATTTGTATTTGTTTTCATTGAAAGCATAATAGTTTTTGTCATCTTAGCTCTAAATGATCTACAAAAATTTGGTAAATGATTCATAAATTGCAAACTAAGAAAATCAATACAATCCTGTTTTAATTGGCTAGACTGGATGAAAACATTCAGTTTTGCCGTGCTACAAAGAAGATGACTACAAAAATGAACTATCATATTTTACTTTTCCTGGCGCTAGCTGTGTTTGTAGTATCTGAAAATCAATGCAAAGGTAGGCAGTGAGATACAATAATGTATCTTATATACTTTATCAAGCAGAGAGTAGATCTGACAGTGGAAAAGAGTACAATTTTACAAGTTGCGACGGTGAGTATGTACAATCTAGACTATATGGTATATGTATGTCTAGCCACCAATAATTATTGTCTTTTGAACTCATTTAGCTGAAACACACAAACATTTACAACTGAGTCAACTAAACATAAGTCCATATCCAATAATACGTGGAAAATGTCTTCATGTCAAAGGACTTTTGCATGCAAGTAAGGTTATATAGCTACTCATTCATAGCCTGATTACAATTAGTGCTCATTCCAGGTAGTAAAATAGACTGGGCAATCATAAAATTCAAAGCAGTCTATAAACTTCACAAAGGTCCCATTCAACTTAACATCACAATAATTGACGAGCAACTCAATTTCTGTGACTTTTGCGTTGAAGCAATACAACATTATTGCCCTGTTCTTCCTGGAGTGTATCATATTAATGAGCCTGTTGTTATTCCAAGTATATTTTGGACAGTGAGTTACAAATGGAAAATATATGCGAAATTAAAATAAAATCTGTACTTTTTATAGGGTGAATATGAAATGAGAGTTTCCATTTTCAATGACAAAAATGACAAGTTATTTTGTGGGAAAGCATTTCTCCATATTAAATAAATAGACCTTCACATGTCTTGAAACACAAATAAATAAATAAATAAACTAATAATCAATTTTTGTTTTGTCATAATGGGACTTTTCAAAACTTTATATAAACACCATAAGGATAATTACAAACATGCATGATACTGTTGCATGTTTTTCTTTCAAGTTGCTGTTTATTGACGAAAATAATTTTTAGCATTATGATAACAATGTAATAGCCATGCATAAAACTGATATCCACGAGCACGATTTCCATTGTTCAAAAGGAAGATATGGCAGTATCTGTGGTGTATTATGCTTTAAGCTTATTACTTTTAT